CGAACATCTTCAGGATTTAGGATAACCTTGATTTCGGAACACTACGAAGGATCAACTTTTATTTTTTCAAAACAATTTCTTTTTTTAAAGAAGATTATTTTTATGATTGAATGGACTGGTAACCGTTGGTTTACGCAAAAAGGAGTCGGAACTTTTCTTCCGTAGCATTAATAGTGGGAATCGGTTCCGGAATCGAGTCTTCGCCCAGCTCTAAAAATCACCCTGTACTGTACATCAATAAGCGCAAAAAGAATATTTCTGTGACTTTGTATAAAGGTGTTTTGTAGTTGAGTTCTATTATAAATTATGTATTATATTTCTATGTAAAATTTTCAACAAAATAATGTACATTTGGACCGTACAACTGAGATAGACACTCATGCACACAATAACATTCACACAACACACACACATCATACAAACACACTATTACATTTACTATCTCTCTCTCTCACCACAACCACACACAAAACACATACACACACACTCACACACACACTCTCTCTCTCTCACACACACACACAGACACTTGAGACACATAACTCTTACCCTTGGTCCACTTTTCATTTAGTACCTTCCTCTATTTTGAAATAATCCCCCGCACTAAATATAAAGATCAGTAGAATCTTGACCTTGCAAATCCATGGTTAGTTCAAGAAATCTACCATATTAGGTGGCCTAAATAAGGTAAGGGGGGGGGGTAGCTTATTTGGGCCATATGTGGCCTAGATAAGGTAAGGGGGGGGGGGGGTTTAGCTTATTTGGGCCACAGTGGCCTAAATAAGGTAAAGGAGGGGGGTTTAGCTTATTTGGGCCATTCTTACCCTTGGTCCACTTTTCATTTAGTACCACCCTCTATTTTGAAATAATCCCCCGCACTAAATATAAAGATCAGTAGAATCTTGACCTTGCAAATTCATGGTTAGTTCAAGAAATCTACCATATTATGTGGCCTAAATAAGGTAAGGGGGGGGGGGTAGCTTATTTGGGCCACAGTGGCCTAAATAAGGTAAAGGAGGGGGGTTTAGCTTATTTGGGCCATATGCGGCCTAAATAAATAAGGTTACCCTAAATAAAATACTGCTATAGCGCAATCAGACAAACATGCGAGTCGGTTATACTAGTTATAGCGGAATATTGCTGCTGCTGTGCACACCACACAGGCCATTTATTCATGCAAAACCTCGCCGGTAGTTGGTGATCTTGCGAAACAAAGAATGGGAGAGCCCACATGTGCCAACAATGAAGGCGGAGCGAATGAGTGGGGAGGATGTGGTAGTGGCATGCACAGACAAGCAGAACGCATGGTGCGATAGGTCAGCCTAGTCTAGATTATCTAGGCCTAGCCTACCACGCCTCTCACTTCTCCGATGCGGGGACGGAGAGGTCACGATAATGTGACTGTGATAGATGGATCGAATGTGGGACGTGCACAAGTCACATGCAGACGGAACGCACCACAGGGTGTGGTGGGGTGGGGGACAACACAGCGGGCGAGTTAGCTTAACTAGAGAACTTTATTTCTGATCACCGACGCCGAGCTGTCAACATCGCTAGCGCTAGAGAAAGAAACCTAATTCGATTTTTTATCAAGTAAGACCTCGAGATCACGTTGAGCCAAATCATCATCAGGGGAGATTACAAAAAGAAAAATAGAAAACCAGACTCATCATAGATTAGGCCTACTGAACTCTTTCCCTTGAATAAATTACTGGATCCCTTATAACGAGAATCCTGCTATAACGGATGTTTCGCACCGGTCCCCTCCCTCTCATTAAACAGGATTTCACTGTACTGTACTAGATCTAGTACTATAGATAGGGCCTACTATTTTTCTGCCAAATCTAGGATCAATTTGGCAGGAATTTTTTCCCTCATATTTCTGACACGCAACACTGCCCTCAGCATGATTGATTGCACGCGTGACGAGCCAGTCATCGGTACGGTCAGCATCACTACCCCCCCCCCCCCTTCCTCCTCTCGTGGTGAGAAAAGAACCACATTTTGGCTACTGTAACAATGAATACATGTAACAAAGAATACCAACCGGCGACCAGAATGGCTGTAGAGTCGGGGTTTTTAGTTGAGAATGCGAAGTGGATGTGTTCGAGAACTCTGTGGATACAATACATGATAAGAAAACATAGGTAGTGAAACAGGACCGAGAATTATGTTCGAGATACCAGAGAATTCGGGATTTTCGTGTTCGAAATTCGTGGTCTCTACTGCACTACACTACATATGGCGCACGGCACCCACAGTGGCTGCTTGATAATCTTAGCAACACGCATCTCTGCAAGTTTGACCTATTTTTAGGCAATTGTCGATTTTCTCTTGATTTGCACTGATTACGAGACATTTATATATATTTTAATTTATTTTTAAGGACCTCAAGGCTGGTGGGCGCCCACGAAGCTTTTACTTTTATTTTGTGAGGGTTCACGTTCGTCTATACCGGTAGTTTCTGTACTGTATTCATGTGACAGGTTTGAGGCGGCCCGAAGATGAGGAGTGGTGGGCATCAGGTGCTAAAATATAAATACGTCAACAGGGACCTGACACGTGTGTTGTAGAGTTGTAATGTCTGTAGTCTAGCTTCTGATCTGGCTGGCAGAAATTTTCTAAGGTAAAAGTCTTCCTCCTATTAAGTTTTTAACTCAACAAACTCAAAAATACAGTAGTCAAACCACAAGTGACAATGCACCGCCCGATAATGCCAGAGAGTGCAAGAATCTACTTTTGACTTTACAATACAAAATAGTTACACCATCTGGATGAGTTGTAGGATACGGACCTTAACAAACATTATGTAAATTAGCCCGCCCGGCTGTACCGCCACAGGTACACACACTACACATGGTGCACAGCACCCACACATTGGTTGCTTGATTATAATACTAATACTATACTACTACATGTACTACTACTACTATCATTGATACCGTAGTGATACATTACATTATATTATATGTGTGTACGTTTCTACGAGCTTGGTCAATTTCTAGAGCTAATCAGTTTATTCAACTGGTTTGCGTTGATTTTTGATGTTCAGGGATCTAATTTAAAAAAAAAAGAAATCAAAATTATTAAAGTAATCTGGATAAACTTCAAAGGAACTATACTGTACCAACTTGGCCTGCAAGCAAAATAGCCAAACTGGCATCGCCAGGTATCGAGAGTATCAGTATCACATCTCAATGACCTAAAAAAAAAGGCTGGCGGGCCGTGAGGACTACAGCTCAAATCTAATGACACACAAACAGCCTAGCTTCTCTGCTCCTACCTTTTTTGTTTTTGTAGAGGTTTTACGGTGCTCGCAACTGCATAAGGTCATTTGAGCGCCAGAAGATTAGAGTTAGAGGTGTCACAAGCGAGTAACAAACAAAAAAAAAAGAAAAAGGGGAGATAAGGACGATAGAAGAAGATGTTTGATAGGAAAGGAGGAGCAAACCACACCTGAGCACCCACTCTACCTTCTTTAAATTTTGAACTTTCATAGACCGTAATTAGTTAAATTAGGTTCAGCTGGCGCTATGCAGGTACATGTACATGTATTGTCAGCTGCACATGACTCATGACAATCACGCAAGACTACGTCTGTCTCGATGAGGAAAGACTGGCTAGTTTGTCTCAACCACTAGTCATGATGGCTGCAGGCTGTGCGCATTGTGATTGTTCTACAGTGGAACTCGGATTCAACGAGGTCGCCGGGCCTGACCTAAAATATCGTTGAATCCGAGTGTTCGTAGTAAGTTATAGCAAACACAAGGTTTTGTGTATATAATTACAGGCTCTGAGCAAGTAATGTAAAGAGAAGTCACTACTACGTCAAGACTAGCTTATCATTGTGATAGTGATCAGTTGCGGAGGGTGGAGGGTGAAAAAGGACTGTGCCACGGTTGTATCTGCGACGTTCAACGCCCGGACCTCTAGTGCCCCCCCCCCCAAACAGCCACACATGTGTAGGCTGCCCATCCGACCCCGTCACACGCTAGAGTAGACACATGCCCGTGCCTAGAACTAGAACGCACGTGTTGGTATGAAAAAGGCCACTGCATGCAATCGAATAAGTGAATAATGGTTCACGATGCAGGTGCAATGGATGGTTTCTGGGAATCGATAAAGTCCGTTCTGGGAGAAAAACGAGCGAAGCCACGTCTCCGAGGGCTGTTCACCCTGGAAGCGACCTCGACCTCGTTGAATCCGGGTTTTTTAAAATTGATTTTAAAGAAAAAAAACGGGGAATCTCATCTGGTTGAATCCGAGTTCCACTGTACATTTTCAGCTTGCTTTTTATCCTGCTAAATTGTAACCGTCACAGAACAGATGAAAGAGTAGACCACCATAATATTGCAAAGTGGGCCCCACTTTTATTTTTAACGCGACAGGATTTCGGCTACAGCAGGCTCATCACGACATAATAATCCCAGAGTCCGATCTTTCAATGTATAGAGTAAAAATACCTTTACAACAAGGCATGTGTGCAATCATGCTTAGCTTACTTTAGCAATGGTGTAATATCCACAGAATAGGAAAAAAGACAGCTTAAAAAAAATTATATATTAAAATAAAGCCAACATTGTGAAACCGAATTGCTCTTACGCGATTAGTCATTATAATAGTAGTAGGCCTACGTTGATGGTATACACAAATATCATGTGAGCAGGGAAGGGGGGGGGACTTTACTCCTCCCCCACCCCACCGTCTCAAAAATTATTCCTCTTGAATCTTGTTTCATTAGATCTAGCGTATGGTGATGAAAATATGTGGACTGTAAAGTGAACAAGCTATAGCACCCAAGGAAACAAACCCACGAAAATTGCGGGGTTGAAACTGGAACTTTCATGGACCGTTTTGCGAAACTTTCACTGGAATGCTAAATTCAGCCTTCTTATAATGACTATAGTTGGATAAATATGAATTGTGGATGATCTCCTCCCCCCTACCATCCCCATCTGGCACACTTCACAGGCATACAAAAAACAAACAAACCCAAAGTGAACGATTAGAACAACATTTATTTTTATCTATCAAAGTAAACAGAAGAAAATAAATGAGTGCAAAGTGGCAGTCTTTTTAGGGTGAAACATTCGATTTGACTACAGAATCAATGGCCAATGAAAAGCTATTAATGTGACCCAAAACCCGTTTAGTTCATGGATCATGTCAAAAAAATTACACCAAAAAACAAAAACGAACAAGAACGTGTAAAAGTAAAAACTTTCTACCCTCCACAGCACATTCTGAATTGAAAAAGTAATCAAATCAAGCATTTCAAATAATTGTAAGTTCAGAGTTAGTCCACTTCCTCCATGCGAGATGCATCATCATCATCTCCTTCCAGAGGTGGAATCTCTTCTCCTGCAGCCTCGACAGCAGCATCACCAGAGGCACCATCGTCATCATCAATTCCTGTGAGACGAAACAAAATTGTTATTTTATAACCAAAAGAAGGCAAGCAAAGCAGAAAGATATAGGTTGGAAACATTTGTAAACTGGAACTTGGATTCAACTAAATCACTGTTATACAGTGGAACTTGGATTCAACTAAATCGCCGGGGATGTAAGAAGGCAACTGATAGGAAGCATAAACAATAGGCTAAGTGAATAATGGTTCAAGACACAGGTGCCATGGACGGTTTTCGGGAATAGATATAAGGTAAATGAGCGAAGTCACGTCAGCAGGGGTTGTTCATCCTACTAGTGACTCAGTTGAATCCGAGCTTGCTCATTTATGAGTTCGCTGAATATGAGCTATCTTTGTTGATTTTTTTTAAATAGAACCCCCCACCCCCCAACCGGAACTCCTTTCGTAGAATCCGAGCTTTCATTGAATCGGACTTCCACAGTACAAAACAAAAACAACTGCAAAACATTTCACTGTTCACTTCTAATCAAATCTGAGCTTCTAATAAGACAGAAACCTGATGGCAAAATGAAGCCAGCAAGTAAAGTACAGTATAAACATGAATGTCCACCACATGGTTTTTCTCCTCTTTCACAGTCACATAATGACTACGAGAAGGTCATGGAATATGCAGGAGTGACTCATCAGCTGACAAGAGCAGTCAGGAGAATCAATTTCTGTACAACGTTGTGGAAAAGGTCACCTCATATCCTGAAAGGATTATTGGCTCCTGTTTGCCACATAGACAGAAAACAAGTCTTGCCGAGGCAAGTCTCGCTCAGCGTCAACGTTGATTTTACCACACAAAAATTTCAAAACCCTTTATATCACCAACCTTAAGACGTGCCGAGTTAGGCTGAAATTTCACGGTAACCTTTTAAGTAACTGAAGGTGAAAGAAAGTCACCCCAACAGAGGTTGGACTGACCAGAACCATCACAATGTTTTTTCTATACAGTTGACAGTAACTTGACAGTCGTTTCGAAGTAATGGTAACAACAAGTCGCATGTTATTGTACAATGTCCGATGTTTCTGATGTGTAAATTTGGTTTCTAAAAATTACCTCAGACTCAAGTGAGTCAAAGAAAGAGCATACATCACAACAACAAAAACCCCATCACAACTGATGCTTACCCAAACCGAGCTTGATCATTCGGTGAATTCTGTTGGCATGGGAGGTGGGGTCTTCAAGGCTGAAACCTGAAGCAAGAAGAGAGGTCTCAAACAGCAACAAGCACAAGTCCTTCACAGCTTTGTCATTCTTGTCAGCATCTGCTTTCTCCTTCAGGGTGTTGACAATAGGATGATCTGGGTTGATCTCCAGGTGCTTTTTGGCTGCCATGTAACCCATAGTGCTGGTATCACGGAGTGCTTGAGCCTTCATGATTCTCTCCATGTTGGCGGACCAGCCATATTGAGATGTGACAATACAGCATGGGGATGTGACCAGGCGGTTTGACACAACAACCTGCAGAGAGAGCAAAGCACAATTTTAGAATTTGCACAGGTCTCCTCTAGAAACATATTACAGGCAGGCCATTTTTAGAGGTACAGTATTGTGCTTGGACATTCACAAGGAGACAAAGTTGGGTAAAATAAAAAAACAGAAACCCCACAGCAAAAACTTAACAAAACTGCACAGAACCAGAGAATTTCAGCATTAAGCAGAACGCTAATGGAAAAAGGGGAGGCCACTCCTTTTCAAACTTGCAACCAGAACTAACAGGATCAAAAGCCTGGCCCAGAGCTTCCAGCAGCTGAAGTCATTTTATGAGGATTTTCAGGTCCAGGGCAGCCTTAAGTTTAGGATTTTCTTGTTTCAGAGCATCCTAAATATGCCATTCCTGGCTATTCAAGCCTAAATTTAACAAAAATCGTGAGAAAAAACATACTTTGCATACAGAAGCTAATCTCCTTGTGCTAATCCATAAATTCAAGGCCACGCTCAACTTAAATCCACAACAATATTTACAAATAAACAAGCCTCATGTTTACAGTGCTGGTGCTCTGCTTGTGCTTTAGAAAGTGAAAGACACTGACTACACTTCCATATAAATAGAAGAGCACTTCTGGTATGGGTTGGGTATTGTTGACTGCTATTAGTAATTACAGAAAATTTTTAATTTGCATTTTAAAAAATTTAGCACGGATTTTCACAATCAAGCTTAATCTACCACAAAAAAATAAAGTTGTCTAAGTCTACTTTAATTTGTATGATTTTAAAAAATTGGCATGAATTTGATTTTACGAAAAATTTCCAGACGTGACAGGTAGAATGAAATTCACAACAACAAAAATAAAAGTTCAGTGTTCTGTTTCGATTTGTATGCATGTGTGAGTGTTTGGTGAAAATATAAAAGCTGGTCTGTCCTTTGATTCAGACCCATGCACTGAATTACATGAGACAGGTAGGTGTACGCCACAAGGTGATTTCGTTGCGTGAACAACACCAGTACTAGATCTAGCCCTAGAACTACGACTCGGGCCGTGCTAGGGTACATATCCAGGATCCTAACTATCAGACACATCATATTCTGAGACCCTAGAACTAGTAAACGTACAGAAGTATCGAAAATGACGAAATTATGTGATTCTTGTTCATGCGACTTCTTCGACCATTACTACGACGCGACTATCGGATTACTATAAAAGCTGTATAGAAAAAAAACAAAGCACGAGTTCCGGTCAGTTCAACCCAAGTTGGGGTCACTGTCCTTCACCTTCAATAACCAATAAACCACGGGCCCCAGAGACTCGAAACGTAGTCCAAGTAGCTCAAGCCTGGCCAAACAAGGGTACGAGGCGGGTCACGCGATCTGTGCAGCGAAAAAAATTTTCCAAAGTTGGTCACGCAGGGCTTGTGTGAACCGTCTGAAGTGAGTTGAATTATGAATGACTGACAGCTGATCAGTGTCTTTATTTCCACTCCCCACGGGCAGCCGGTATACAGTGTGGCTATATTTTGCAGGTAACATGAGCGGAAAACAGGAAAGGGGGAGTCAGCCTAAAATATACTATTAACTAAACCTGTTGGAATTTTTTTTACCAAGAGGGTGCAAAGAATAAAAAGAGAGTAAGCCACAAATTCATTCACCCCCCCC